GATGGCAGTGAGTTTGTGTTGGTAAGATTAGTACTATCTGGATCAAAATTTACATGACAGACAGATAAACTGAATGACAAGACAGGGCATTTTCAGCCTATTCAGGAAAACCCAAATCAAATCTACCATTGATGAGTCTATTCTGACTCACAGCAACCCTACAGTACAAAGCAGACCTGCCACATAGGTTTTCAGGCTGCAAACCTTCATGGGAAAAAACTTTACGGAAGCATCTTTTTCTTGGAGACCAGCTAGTGGGGTCAAATTGCAAAATGTTTTAACCTCTATGCCGTTACAACTCAGTTACTAGACAAAAAGTTGGTGGTTCAAAACATCAGCTCCTCTGAAGCCTTTAAAAAGCTTTGGGACAGTTCTCTGTCACATAGGGTTACTGTGTGTTGAATTTGATGGCAACTGGAATTCAGGGAGGGGGGAATTAAACTTGGAGTCTGACACACAGAAAAATCTGAGAGATAAAGTACACTCATCTTTGTAGACTACAGTATATCTGATCTAAAGCATGTTTTCAATGATGTGAAATATGAAAGCATGTGAAGGTAGAAAATTCCAGGCAAAAAGAGTTAATATATCTGATTAACTCAGGAATGGGAAGTTAACTGAAATGTACTTATGAAATAATTTACTTGGCAAAATTGTAAGAAACAAAGGGGAAGAGGATTAGAAGATTATAAAGTATCTTTTTAAAACAACAATTGTGGAGTATAACCCACATTGGGAAAAGCATGTAACATACAGTTGCATAGCCCAACACATCAGAACACTGACAGCGTCCCAGAAAGCCCCTGTGCACGTGGCCCTATCTTTATTTTGACCCTCCCCACCCCACCCCCACCCCCACCATTTCACCCTTAAAAGTCAGCTCCTTTTTCTAGGAAAACCACTTTCTTAATTTTTATATTTTTACAACATATATTTTTTACAACAATTACAACAACTGGTAATATTTGTCTTTATGAGATGACTACTTAAATAATGCCATCCAAATTCATTCATGTCACGAGGTGTTTTGACGGTTACACTGTTGTTTTTTAGAGATGCTAATATTCCACTGTATGTATTAGAATTTATTTATGGCCAACTTAAATGCCATAATGGGGTCTTTCCATTAGCATGGTCTTAAAAACTGTGGGTTGTAATCTATTAGAGGGTTGAGAAAATGAGTTGGTGTGTTTTAACTAGCATTTTGAAAAGTGAAATGGAATAGACCAGATTACAGTCAATGTAGCATAAGTATTATTTCACTAATTCGTTTCAGTTGTATATTATGGGTCACATGGAAAATTAATAGCTTACTATGGGCCTCAAGGAAAACTTTCAGAAAACAGACTTAGCTAGCAGGATATGGAAATACTCTGCTACAGAACAGTATGAAAGTACTAGAGGGGGAGAAGGGAGTGGGGAGAGAAGAAGGAAAAACTGAGGAGTTGATACCAAGGGCTCAAGTAGAAAGCAAATGTTTTGAGAATGATGAGGGCAACAAATGTACAAATGTGCATGACACAATGGATGGATGTATGGACTGTGATGAGTTGTATGAGCCCCAATAAAATGATTTTTTTAAAAGAAAGAAAAAACTAGAGGGGGAATGAGAAGCTCTTGGCACTTGGGCCCTTCCGTTGCCAACTTCTGAGTTTCACTCTGCATTCCAATGCAATGTTCCATGCCCCCAAAGTGCCTACTAAAGGGCCGATTCCTCACACCTGAACCAAGAAGCAAGATCATGATACATACAAACAGACTGAAGTTGTCAAGGATTTCACTTAATTTGATTCACAGTCAACTCCGATGGAAGCAGCAATCAACTCTTCTATCCAATGACAGATTGCATTGAAAACAATAATATTATCACCGGGGTGAAATACAAAGGCAGTACAACAAAGCAGCAAGGGGAG